ATGAATAAATAAAAATTTCAAAATTTTTAATTCTCATTTAACTTGAATCTTACAGAATTATTTTAAAATCGAAGTTATAAATAAAAACATACTTTTAGATTTATTTTATTACTGTGTACAAGCTATGGTTACATTGCTTTGATAATAGGCGCACTTTTTCAAAAGATTTTATTTGAATTTAGAGAATTTCAAAAAATAGTTATTTTGGTAGGAATAATACTCATGAATAAGTTATAAATAAAAATAGGAAAACAAAAAATATTTTGAAGCAAAAATATTAAATAAATGAAAAAGAATAAAATTTTTAATAAGCAAAAGAATTGAAAGAACAACATTAATAAAGATTTCATAGTAATGTGTACAAATAATTTGAATGTTACATAGGATCTTGTGGAAAATTAAGAAAAAGATAATATAAAATAAAACATTGTTGAAGTTAGGGGTAAAACACTTGGTACTGTTTAAATGTTATAATGAATAAAATCTTAGGGCTAAGTAAAATGAATTGTATTGAAAAAAGCTTTGCTTACACGTATATTCAACAATTACATTACATTTGTATTATATACATATTCATTTTTATTTACATATGTATATTTTTACAGAGGATGTTCTGAAGGCCAACAATCGGGTGTACATAACCCAGTTCTCAACGATTTACAGATTAATCAAATTGATTTTTCAACTACTGAAAATTTTTAATATGTCTACTAGATTTTAATATAAAAATGTATACTTTGTATATTTCTAAAAAGGTTATATGCATGAGAGGTATAGCAAGTTTCTATATACAGTGGTGCCCCCTTAGTTGTCGTAGTTTCAATAGAATCATGACATTCAATGAGGGAAGTGGGTATTCTTGGAATTGTCCACCGTTATCTATCTCCGACTTACTTGGCTTTGAGTGCTCGAAGACGAGAACAAGTAATAATACGAACGAGTGAAATATAGTAAAATATTATTTAAATGATAATTAATTCTTTTAGTACGTAATTGTTTTTGCCTTTATGAAATTAGTTTAAAATGCAGAATCTAAAATTATATATAAACAAACAGTTTTATAATATCATTAAATAATAAGAAGTGCATATTTGCAAAATTAACAAGAGCATTAGAACTTTAGAAACATAAGATTTATAATATAGATATAGATGTGTAGGTGTTATTTTTAAGGAAGAACCTGATGAATATTTTTTTAACAAGTAGTGAAGATTTAGGAAAAAAAGCCTTAACACAGAACTGAGTGCTTTTGGTGCTGTGCTCCTATATAGCATCTTTCTTCTTTACATTTGAAAAAGATGGATTTATTATAAAACCACATGTGTAATATATAATGCTCCAGTATATGCATAATTTAATTATAACTTTTGGACTAAGTTTCCTACAGAATGTCTATGTAAAAAATCTATAAATTATATGCTGTATTAATAGAAAAATTGTTTAATGAAAGGTGGAAACTTTCTAATTTTCTAATCATGTCATTGCCAGTTAAGTGTGAAATAATATCCAAAAATACCACAGATGAAGCATTTTCTAATGATGAAACAAATGAAGATGAAATGTTAATTGAACCAGCCACTAAAATAGCATCCTTCCCTGTGCGAAAAGAAGAAACTACAGTTGCAAAACGTTTAGAAATTCTTCAAAAGCTGGAAGAAGGCATGACAATTGATAAAGTTGCTAGTGAATATGGTCTTCATAGAAGGACTATACAAAGATACAGAAAAAATGTAGAATCAATTAAGGAATTTTCAAAAAATCCGAGAACCTTGGCTATGAAAAGAAATCGTTTATCTGTACATGAAGATATAAATCTTCTATTACACAAATGGATTTTGAAAAGACAAACGAAAGGAGACATCTTCAATGACAGTCTTTTACAAGAGAAAGCAAAAGAACTGCATGAAAAATTTGGTAGTTCATCAAGTTTTACAGCAAGTCGAGGTTGGCTATGGCGTTTTAAAAAACGATATAACTTAAGCAGATCGAGCATTCATGAAGAACAAGCTAACACAGATGAATTATCTGCAGAAAAATTGGCAAAAATATTAAGTGAGGAAAATATTGATAAAAACAGTATATACAATATACAGGAGAAAACATTAATGTGGAGAAGTCTACCTCAAACAAGATTGTTGCATGATGAAGAACCAATGCAAAATGAAAGACTAAAAAAAGATTACGTGACTGTAGCATTTTGTGCTAATGCTACTGGCACGCACAAGTTGCCACCCCTTTTTATTAATAAATATGCCAGCCCACAAGCTTTAAAACATTGTAGTCACTCTTTGCCAGTAGTATATATGAGTCAAAATAATGGTTGTATTGATGAAGTTATTTTTAATAATTGGTACATCAATCATTTTAAGCCCAGTGTGAGACAGTACCAACAAGAAAAACATTGTACAGAACAAGTATTGTTACTTGTTGATAATTTTAAGGGAGATCTATTTTTTAGAAAACCACAAGAAGATTCCTACTTTAAATTAATGATTTTACCATCTGACACATGCTTGTTTAATGAACCAATGGATGAAAGTATAATTGCAAAATGTAACAAATTGTTTCGGCAGAAATTACTTCGCCGAGTACTTCAATATAGCGGTAGAATTAAAGAATTTTATGCTCATTACGACATAAAAGATTGTATTGATTTAGTTAGTGAAGCATGGAACGAAATAACAATGGCGGATATTAAACATTCTTGGCGAAAACTTTTAGATCAGCAAAATTTTGAAACTATTATTATTAAAGAGGAACAAGAAGAATTGGAAGACAATATTACTTCTGAAGAAATACTTGAATGGATTTCAAAATGTGAAAAAGAAGAATTGACTATTAAAGAAATGGTGTCAAGAAGAGAAACTGATATAGATTATCATTGTCCAATAGAAAAAGAAGAGATCGATCGTATGTTTCATAATTTGGAAGTCTGGTCTGAAACTCAACCTGATTTTATTCAATTATATGCAAAAGTTTTAATATGTTATCATAAACAACAATAATATGTATACAGTAAGATTAAAATTTTCTTATAATCTGGAATTCTCATTTATAATTTATTTCATAAATCTATTTCTGTTTATAATGTCAATCCATTTTTTTCTTGTCTTTAGTTATCTATAAAGCCCTGTATTTTCTTTGTTTTCTCTATTTTTCGTTATTCGTATATTTTTTATCTGTTATATTTGTATAACATTTATTATCGTTACAAATAACGACAGTTTATTCTACAGTTATAGGAATTTGTGAAATAATATTGAGACAGATAAATGAGTACAATTATGATAGTTAAATTAACTCTACTTAACACAATATATTGTTGTTAGCGCAGTGGTTTATAACACGGACGTGTCAAAGGGACTATTTTTGAGTTTAGGGCCTTAATTTATTGTTAGCATGTATTTAGAGAATTAAAATGTGTCCTGGCGAGAGAAAGTGAAGTTTACGACCCAGAGTTTTAAAAAAAGTTGTTTCTTTTGTCCTCGATAGTCTGAAGACGTGTTATAAAGTGGGCGTTGCGAAAGGTGACTCATAAATCAGTTTCAACGGTCAGGGTACCGAAGAAGTCAGAACCTAAAGGAAATTCCGCGCTGTTGCTAAACATTCGCTTATTTTCCACTGAGGTATCGTCACCCTCTTACCAAGGTAAGGCACTAAGGGCGCAAGGGAAGGGTGATCGCGATATCATTTAGACACGCTGATTAGCGATTAGGTATTTTTTAGGAATGGTCAATCAGCGTGTATTTGATGAAATCAAAAGCAACTCGGCTGTCAGTAGCCAGTGTAAAAGTCGATTAAAAAATCACGCTCGAACAGATTAAAACTCTTGGTAATCATATTGGACACATACATAAGTAAAACACTATATAGTACACACGCTAATCAAATAGCATTCAGGCCTATAAGAAGCATTCAGGCTTCTTCCTTTGGGTTAGTTTATTGTTGAGTTTGTAAATAAAATTAATCAAACATAAACTAAATTAAGAATTCAGTTTCCAATTATCAATTTAGGTGACTTAAAAAATGCTCATTACCTCAGATCTAACAATCAACACCTGTAGAACAATAACAAGTTTATCTTGCCTGAGCTCGAGCTAAGTTTGTTGTCAACAGATGAAACAGAAAATAACAGTGAAATAACAAGATTATTAAGTTTTTATAGTAACCATGAAACACCTGACACTAAAACTAAAATAATTTTTTTTCAATAATTCGAATGCACTTGCTTCTGCGGCACTTAGACTGTAACTGATTAACACTTTGTAGTTCGCCGACGGAACTTGCGATGTTTACTAACAGAGAAAATTATGAACTTTACTGTAAAAATCGTTCGAACTATGTTTGTTTTTAGCTTAAACAATTTTTTAGATAGCGTTTATATAATCAGGAAAACAACGAAATATGCATGCATGACTAAGTACGAATTGTACTATCAATACGTCAAAACAAATCGTCAATACCTTTCACAAATGAGTGAACCGTCTCAGCAATGATCGCGGACCGCGGAATCACAATTATATTTTTTTTTTTAAATGTTACTTTTTTTATGATAAGATATGGTAACTAGTTTACTTATTCTTTAATATATAACGTTACTTTAAAGAATTACTTAACCAAATTCTTACAAGCGTTTGAAGAACATTATTACAACGATTTACTTTAGAGTATGGAGTTAATCACATTTGTTTCTGAAATAAATCTTTGTCATTTGATGATGTTAAGCCTAATTCTTAAGGAAATTTATTTGAAATATCAAAAGATAAGTATCAATCAACTGCTGTGGCACTAAAATTTTAAAAAATTCAAAAAGTGAAGTCAACCACTTTGGTCTGTGAACGGCTTGCATAGCTATTACATATATGTTAATAAAAATAAAAGAGAGTTATAAAACATTGTTATATGATATGTTGTCACTCGGCCCAAACCAGTGTGATGCGGTTATAAAATATTTACCATTTACTGTTTGACGTCATTATTAATAAGGAGATGCGAAATATTATACAAACTTGTTATAGACTTACTACTACAATACCAAAAGGTATAATTTTGTATCAAGTTATAAAAGTATATTGTACAATAAGGTTATAAAACAATCTATTTTATAACACTGGTTTGTTATATAGTGTAAACGTAATTTTAGAAAGATTAGCATTTACAATATAGCTGTTTTGCTACAAATTTCAAATCTGTCTACACTTGAAGAGGTTACGCGGCCCAAGGAATAAGTAACTCTGTTTTATTTATGTTAATTTATTAATTTAATTAAATTAGGTTTATGCATTAGAATGACTTATATTAAATTAAATTACTATGCATTTAATAGAACAGTATTTACTATTACGTATTCACGAGATGGATTATATTTGTATTCTGAATTATCACGTAATATTTTATTTAATAACAGAAGGCTGATCGCGTAAATACTGGAAGATTCCGTAAAAAATACATTAGGTGCAGTATAATCTTCTGAAAATTTCTCAGAGTGTAACAGATATTCATAGCAACACGTATTTATTGATAATCTACAAGTTAGAGGATTTGAATGTTATGAAGTGAACCTGGCAATAATAGTTTGTCTTGCGCATTCTTTAAATTTTGTCTATTTATTTTGTTTAGAATCATATGGATCATTTTTAATTTGTTCCTAGCTATAGGTACATTTCCGCTCAGATGGATTTTTAGCATTATCATATCTATTTATAAATTTGATTATTATATGTACATATTGCTATTTAACACTGTAATAGTCCACGTATTTGTGACTTAATTCACACAGCTGAAAGGGTAGAAAATATGACTTCTTTTGTATTTTTACATATTCAACGTGTTTCAAGTTTTAAGAATTTATTTAAAAGTTTTTAAATCAATATCCTAAAAGTCAATAGACTTAAACAAATTTTAACAAACCGCTCGCATTTCTTGACTTATTGTTAAAGTATAATATCTGAAGTTATTATATAGAACTATTGTAACTTTCTGCTCATCATAATTCATTTGCGAAAACAAAGCTATTAGTAGGTAATACAGAAATCGAGAGAATTTTTGCACTCACCTAATACAATGTCCTAAATCTGCGAAGAATACCGATGGCAGGCGTAAGTTTTTGTGCGAAAGGGATGTTAGAGTATTGGACAATATCATTTCTAACAAAATACCATTGTTAATTAAGAAGTATGGCAGTACACTTCTGTTTCTAACTACTTTATACTTTGTTTTCTATATACGTACTTCATATTTACCTATTCTACTTTTTCCATCAATGTGAAAACCATCATATATTATAAACCAATCATATATTATCTTGAGTAAAATTGCTTTTATCTTATTGACAGAATGCAGATTGTTAAATATAAAAATGGACGTTTGAAATATTTAAGCATATTATCCTCAGTTTTCTAAGGTTTTCACTTTGCCTCTTTTTTGTTTAATATTTTCATCAATAACAATGTATTTGCTCTAACTATTATAAATTTCCATTAAATGTTAATAATCTTAGTTTATCAAAAGTCAGTAATAAGTATAGAGTTATATAATCAAATGGTTTTAAATATTTCCAAATACAATGTTATGTACAAATCTGTTAATAGTTAACCTTTAGGCAAATGCTATTCATTATCATAAGCACTTAAATATATGTATTGCAATCTTAAAGTAATTAAACAAAATTTAATTATAATTGCTACAAAACAACTCACAATGGGATAATTTCTTAGGAATATGTGTGCAATACGAAGTTTATACTAATATTTGATTCATTGAATTTTATCTACTTTACATTGTAACATTAACTGAATTATTTAATTCATATTACAAAATGTATTTTTTTATTTAGTTTTAAATATTGTAATGGTAGAAAAATCATTCTCTTTTCCTTCTGAAAATATTAAATATGAATTCGTATGAATTCATGTGAATCATTTTTATTTATTTTTTGATAGGAACTACTATATTAGCTGTATACAAAACATTTATAAAATATTATGAAATAGATCAATTTAC